TACACTAACTGCTGGTCCAAAAGTAAATAATTCTTTAAAAAAAAATAAAGGAGACCAGGGACCGGCAGGTGGCATGATGGTTAAGGGTGTTATACTCCCGCATGTCAACTGTGGTTCAAGTCCCGGACCTAGTGGCTTGCTTTCTCATTTTCCCTCTTCTCTGTCCCTCTCTGGGGACAGATTATTAATGAAAAGTGAATTTATTATTTTATTAGTTGAAATATAGTTATTTTATTAATTAAATAAAGTTAAATAAAAAATTTTAAAACAAAAAATTAAAGGGAGACCATTAATTAAACCATATTTGGAGCCTCACTGTATTTTGAATTAAGAGCCTCCTATTAGTGCTAACTCCTCTAATCTCCTCCAACAATATTTCACACTGGGACTTTGTTTCGTTCATTAGTGCTCATCAGCTTGTGCTGTCTGTTCAGCTGAGGCTGCCTCTGTCTTTTGTGTGTGCTACTTTCCTAGCATTTTTTATTTTTATTTTTCAGTTTGCTCTAGGGCGTGTGTGCTCACCACGTAGAGTCAGGGAACGTGAGAAAGCAAGCTGCCAGATCTGGGGCTTGTACCACGGGTTGGCGTGTGGGATTCCAGCACCGCAGCCACTACGCTACCTGCTAGCCCTTTCCTGACATTTCCGGGGCCTCTGAAGAAGAACGGACTGGGTCACGCTTAACCATCTTGAACCGGAAGCCCTGCTCACCCTGTGCTGCACTTGGAATTTTTATTTCTCATTTTTAGGCTCAGCAGTCTTCTTCCATTCTCCCTTCAGAAAACCAGACTGTTGGGTTTTTGCTCTGCCTATAGTTGTAATGGAATTAAGTAGTTCACAGGGAACAGAGAAACAATAAAAACACAAAAAAGCAAAAAAAAAAAACCAAAAAAACAAAAAAAAACAATCTATCGAGTAGATAATAAGTCCCAGAGAATCAGAGTGATTTTGCATTTGCCTTATAGATCAAAGGCCAACAATTAGTGTCAAATGCCCAAAGAAGAGGTTGCTATTGTTAGCTGTTTTTTCTCAGTTTCTCCTCCTAGCATTCACTTCAACTAAAAAAAAATTATTGAATGGCTATTATGTATTAGGCTTTATTTAGGTGCTGGATACAAAGATTTCACAAAGTCTTTTTCCCACCTGTGATTTTAAAGACAAGAAAAATATCTAGGTCAGCATTTCCCAAGCCCAGCTAATAACATAATTGCTTATGAAGATTTGTAAAAATACCATCTCAAGTAGATATGATTAAATAAGTTTGGTTAACTATTAGCCTGGGGAATACTTGTAGTCTTTTGTTCTAGTGAAATGCAGTGATATTTTGTCTTTTTATTAAGATTTTTTTTTTCCTTTTGGCCAGAACCACCATTGAACACAGAGGGAAAAAAGGAGAGGCACTGGACATATGTCCTCTGAGCCTTTCAGAAAGCTGGAGTGGTTCCTTTGGCAGAATACATGCAAATCTACAAGGAAAGTGATACTGTAGACATCAAGGGGCTGGGTACTATTTAAAAAGGAATGCCCCACAAATGTTACCATGGCAAAACTGGAAGTCTAGTGTTACCCAGCATGCTATGGCATTGTGAACAAACAAGGGGCTGGGACCAGCAGTTAGCCTAATGGCTATGTCACTGGACTCCCAATGTAGTCGGCTGCGGTTTGAGTCTCAGACCTGGTGGCTTATACTCATGCCAGGTGCGTGTGCGTGCGTGCCCAAGATCCCGAGAGGAGAATGGAGAAGGGATTGCACGTGGCCATCCCCCCAGGGGGTGATTTCTCGCTTTCTGTCTCTCTGGCAAGCACAGGTGCCCTGTAGCAAAAACCTCTCAAAACAAAACAAACAAGAGCAAGATTCTTGCCAAGAGAATTAATGTGCGTATTGAGCATGTTAAGCATTCTAAGAGCAGAGATAGCTTTCTAAAACATGTGAAGGAAAATGACCAGAAAAGAAGAAAGCCAGAGAAAGGTACCTGGTTTCAACTGAAGTACCAGCCTGCTCTACCCAGAGAAACACACTTGTGAGAGCCAGTGGAAAGGAGCATAAGTTTCTGAAACCTATCCCTTATGAATTTTTTTGTTGTTGTTTAAAAAAAGTAAACTCCAGTCTATAAAAATCTTTTTCTTGAGACCAGCAGATAGCATAATGGTTACATCACTAGACTCCCCACGCAGTCGACTGCAGTTCAAGTCTTGGACTCAGAGGCTTAAAACTTAAACTGGGCACGTATGCATGTGCCCCAGATCCCAAGATGGAGAAGGGATTGCGGCGGGGCCAATTACCCCTGGGGGCTGATTTCTCACTTTGTCTCTCTCTAGCAAGTGCAAGCATCTTATAACAAAAATCTATCAAAATTTTTTTTAGTTGAGAATTGTGATGTTCTCTCCCCAAACGCAAATTCTAATTAATTGTCTCTAGTTCATTTTTGTACTATGTTCATTCAAGTTCAGTGGTTTTCTAGCTGAAAGGTATAAGGTAGCTTATTATGCACAAATCAAACTCAGCTGGCTAAGGAACAAAATATTTTTCTTAAATATTCAGCACCCAGTTTGGCTGTCATTGGTTCTTGGAGATGTGTACAGTTTGTGGTCTAAACTTGTAGTGAACATATATTTTGTAAGCCAAATCATAGGAACAGTGGGACCAAATTATTATGAATAAGAAATCATGATCAGTGTAGCCATGGATACGTGACTTCCATAGTACTTCTGGACTAACCTCTAACCGTCCTGTGAACCCTGAACTCCATCTGATTGGATTCACTTTCATATTTTTTTTTCCTGAGATTTTTGCTATAGGGTGCATGTGCTTGCCAGAGAGACAGAGAAATCACTCTCCAGGGGGATGGCAGTCCCTTCTCCAGTCTCTTGGGATCTTGAGCACGCACACGCGCTTGGCTTGAGTTTTAAGACATTGGGTTCAGGACTCAAACCACAATCAACTACATAGGAGTCCAACAGTGTAACCATTAAGTCATGTGCTGGTCCTACTTTTGTACTTTTTCTTAACAGCTCAGCTTCATTTAGATGTTGCTTCCCATAGTTCCAAAAATGTCTGGAGAAATGCTGTGTTCCTTAATACTGATACTGAAGATACTATTCAAGAGCAGATGCAGAAAATGCTATGCGATACATAAATGGAACCCGTCTGGATGACCGGATCATTCGTACAGACTGGGATGCAGGCTTTAAGGAAGGCAGGCAGTATGGACGTGGGCGATCTGGCGGCCAGGTAAGCTGGAGGGGTCCCTGGGCTCATCCTTTGTATGGGATTTCAGTCATAATGACCAGTCTTTGCCAATTTGTATTTATGCTTGTAAATAATGTATGCCTATAATCATGGCATGAAGTGAAACAAAACCATGCATCGGTTTTTTAATAAACTATATATTTCTACAAATAGCCTTTTGGGGGGGGGGAAGGTTTTCGCTATAGGGCGCGTGTGCTCGCCAGACAGACAGAGACATAGAGACAGAAAGCGAGAAATCACCCCCCAGGGGGGATGGTCACGCCACAATCCCTTCTCCTCCATTCTCCTCTTGGGATCTTGGGCACGCACGCACACGCGCCCGGCATGAGTTTTA